GGTCTTGGTGGGACTTCTTCCTTTCAGGAGCATTTCCTGACTCCTCCTTACTTCCTTCCCTCCCCAATTCTGAGTTAATCGCCCCTCCTGTGTGTTTTCATTAAACTCTTATTCCTCGTTTCATCATACTGTATATTCTAATTGCTGTTTTAATTGTCTGTATCTCCCATTATTTCATTTCCAGTTTTTCTTATGTTCCATTTAATTCTGATTAGAGTATTCTACCATCCCAATTCTATTCTCTCTCATCAATTCTTTTCTTTCTTTACTCCTTTTGTGATTTATAGTTTCCAACATCCCTATTTTCATTATTTATTACTTGAGTTTAGCTTACTTCTCCTTTGATTATCCATTTCAAAAGTGTTCTCATATCCAACCAAGAATGCCCCCACGTTGGCACCGCAGACTCAGCATGTCCGACAGCTAAGTGCTTCAGAAGCAGCCTTTCCTTCTCCCATCCCTGCACTCTCCCACCTGCTCGCCCAAATGACCTTTTTCTTTTTCTTTTTCCGTCCTTTCAGTCCCCCACACTTCAAACTTCAGAGATAACGGGAGACTCCTCCTTACCTCTTGTCCATTGTAGTCAGTGAGCATCCAGTTACTTTTCAGTGTTTCAGAATCTCATGTATCTGTCCTGCTCTTTATATTCTCATTGCAACTCCCTAGTTCAAGCCATTTTTCCTTTTTTTTAAACTATTGCCAAAGCTGATTTAATTACTTTTATTTCCTCAAACAACTTAGATTACGATATTTAGAAAACATGAATGATTTTTCTATTACCAATGAAATAGCACAAAATAGAAATTTCACAGAATGCTATTCAAGGTTGTCAGTGACCTGACCTGTGTTTGCCTGAGCAACATTATCTTTTATTATTTTTTTCATGTATGCAAAATTTCAAGCAGTGAAGTCTGTGCATCACTCCTGAAGTATACTCTGTAGTTTTCCTCTGTCATTTCTCTGTGTATTCTGTTCCTTTACCACAACATCCTGTCTTGACATGAATAAATGATTCTCATTTTTTGAAATCTGGCAGAATCGTCTAGTCAGGTGGTTTCCAAATGTTGCTTCCCAGGTGGCTGCATCTGAAAAGCTTTGAAAATACTATAACCAAGCCTCAGTCTGATTCAGCTGAATCAGAGTTTTTAGAGTTGAGATCTTGTTGCCTACATTTTTATTAAAAAGGATTTCCAGCCAGCTTTGGGAATCCCTCCTTTCATATATCCTCATCATTTTTAAGTTTATTAATTTGAGATACATAGGAGAGACCTGAATCCCTCAGAGTTACTCAAATTGTATATATATTGGGTAACTCTACTTGTTTCAGTGCTAACTAAAATGAAGTGTTAAGAATTTCTTAGAACCTGGAACAAAAGCTGTTAAAAACATTTTTAAAAATAGGATATTAATAAATGATCTGAGAACTAGTATTTTCTGTTACTCATTTACTGAAAGCAGGTATTTTATATGTGTTATCTCAGTAGTCTTTTCAGTAGTCAAACAAAGAATATATTAACAAACCAAATATAAAATTAACTTACTCATTCACTTATTCAACTGATAGTTCTTGAATACCTATCCTTTCTAGCACCTGTGCTAGATGCTACAAGTAGAGCACTGAACAAAAATTTGGACCTTCCCTCAGAGATCTTAAAATCTGGTTAGGAAGTAAACATTAATTATATGAATAATTTAAAATTTGATCAATGATAAAGTAATTTGCCTACAGTCATATGGCTTATTAATAAAACAGCTGGGTTTTTGTCTTAGGACTGTATAATTTTAAAATCTCACATTCTTTTCACTATACCACGATGCCAGCAGAGCCAGGAAGAGGTAACAAGAGTATTGAGCTCCTTTTCCTGTCTCCAGTGCTAGATCAGTTATAAGGATTACTTCACTTCTCTGTTTATGTTGGTGCTTTTATTTTTGCCATTGTGCAGATGAGGAAACCAAGTCTCAGAGAAGCTTAAGTAGTTTGCTAAGGTTTTGGCTTCGATTCTGTGATAATTCATAAAGCTATGTTTACATAATTTTTGCACTCCTCTGTATGTATGTTAAATAATTTTATTTCAAATTTTCATTATTTTATAGTTTCCCAAATCACAAATGATATATTTATATTAAACCACAAATATGAATAACAGGCATTAATAGAGAAGGTGGTCATGTTAATTAACAAGCTTAAAATTACATGTAGAATTTGTATAAGTAGTATAAATTAGAATTATTACAAATATTGCTGTATTAGATACTTTTCATTGAAATATAGTTGTGTACAATATTACATTAGTTTCAGGTATACAACATAATGATTTGACAGTCAAATACATTATAAAATGATCATCACAATAGGTCTTATTACCCTCTGTCACCATGCAAAGTTATTACAATATTATTGATTGTTACTTCCTAGGCTATACATTACATCCTATGACAGATTTATTTTGTTGTGGGAATTTTTGTACCTCTTAATCCCCTTTACCTATCTCATCCAACCCCCCAATTCCATCTCCTCTGGCAACCACCACTTTGCTGTCGGTATCTGAGTCTGCTTCTGCTTTATTTTGCTTGTTCATTTATTTTGTTTTTTAGATTTTCCATAAAAGTGAGCTTATATGGTATTTGTTTTTCTCTTTCTGACTTATTTCATTCAGTGTAAACCCTCTAGGTCCATCTGTGTTGTTGCAAATGTCAAGATTTCATTCTTTTTTATGGTTGAGCAATATTCCATTGTATGTACATCTTTTTTACCTGTTCATCTGTCAAACACTTAGGTTGCTTCCATATGTTCACTATTGTAAACAATGCTTCAGTGAACATAAGGGTGTGTGTATCTTTTCAAATTTGTGTTTTTGTTTTCTTTGAGTAAATACCCAGGAGTGGAATGAATGGATCATTTGGTATTATTTTTAACTTTTTGAGGAATCCACATACTGTTTCCCATAGTGACTACACCAATTTACATTCCCACCAACAGTGCATCAGAGTTCCCTTTTCTCCTCATCCTTGCCAACACTTATTTGTTGACTTTTTAATAATAGCCATTCTGATATTAGGTGCTGCTTTAATAATGAGCTATTATTGTTTTGAAAGGTTTTTGGAAGTTAATAATGTTTGGAGTAGGAACCTAGGAAGATGGATCCATTTTAGCCAGATCTTTCAAGTGAAATATGACTTAATGTTTTTCAATTAACATCATGTATAACTTACAATAAATCTACATTGTAAGTTATTGAAGTTACAGAGTTATAAGTTACTGAACTCCTGTATGTTGGGAAGCTGTGCTTTTCAACTCTTTGAGGATAATAAAGGCAATAAATATAATTTTACAGTGTATCTCTATATTCTAGTTTTATAGGTGAAAATATTCTTTAAAATTGCTCCGATAATGCTTTCTTAGATTATATAGACACTTGAATAATGATAAGGGAAATTTCTTTACAGTTGCCTGATTTTAATTCTTGATATCTACTAGAAAAGTAAAAAAAATCACTACTTGGATGCAATGGAATTAACAACCACCAAAGTGCTTTACCCTTTATTTTCAATTAATAATTTTGTATGAAATAGCATATTTTCTCCGTTTTTCTTTGTTAGTATGCTGATACAGCATTGACAGTATATATTTGAATAAAATTCTATTATAACCATATTAAGCTTTTTTCATTAAAACGTATTTTAACATAAAACAATGATCATTTGCTTCTTTTTCTTGTTTAATTTTTTAAAAAATCTAAAATGGGTATTGGTATTCACCAACCATGTTTCCTGATATTTGAAGCTGGTTCTGCTCTGCCTCTGAGTTTGTGTGTGTGCATGTGCTCGTGTGTGTGTATGTGCACAATGTACTATTACTGACTCCAATAGATTTCAGAAATAACATTTTGTCTTATTTATAAACTTAACAGTGAAGGAAATGTTAATGAAATAATTTAACTTTTTAACCATGTGCCTTTAATAAGAGACACTGAATCATCAATGAAAGAGGAATTTCAGCTATCTGGGCTTGGAAATATATGTTGGTGTACACCATCTCCCTTGATAATTCAGTCATTTATTTAGTAACAAATCCAGCGACCTATTTATGTCATTGTAGACTTAATCTACTCATAGGTAGTGTTTCTACTACCCACCTCATTGCTTACCTCTCTCTGCTTCAGTCAATCTGCTCCAGCCACTATCATGGCCTAATTGCTGTCTCACTAGCTAACAAGCACGTTTCTACCTCTGCACTTCTGTTGATACTTGCGCCCAGATTTGTATTTCCCCATATCCTCCGTAGATTCTCTCCTTTGTTATGTGCAGGTCTCAGTTTAAATATCACCCTAGAGATGCATTGTCTGACTTTTCCCTCTATGATAATCCCCATCATTCTCTATTCTTAGTCCCTGTTTCCTTTTTATAGTGTTTATCACTCCCCGATACTCTCATATTTATTTTTATACATTTCTCAGTAAATAAAAGTTCATGAGGGCAGAAACTCAGTTGGTTTTATTTACTACGGTATTTCCAGCGCCTAGAAGCAAAATAGACCTGTAGTGACACTGTATTATTATTTGTAGTTTGAATGAATGAATGAATGAAATGAATAGTAGTATCAGTCTGCATGGCTCAGCCCTCAGTCAACTCTGCAGAATTCATTTTTTAATCTTCTAAACAAATGTACTTCCATCATGGCTCTCTTCATAGGGATCAGTGATGAATTTTAAATAAGCTCTAATAATATAAGAGTTTTGGTTTTTGCCATTATCCTTTAAAGAAGGAGGAAAAGGAAAGAGAAGGAAATCATGTACATAATATTTAACTTTGTCTTTTGTGAAATAAGTAATGACTAAAAACATTTTTTCCTAATGCATTATTTTTATTCTTGTCTGGGATAATTTTAAAACATAGTAGTAACTGCTCAAGTACCCCTTACAGATGAAGATTTATATTGGTTTTGTTTGTTTTCTTGTTTATATGCATTCCTAACCTTATGCACAACCACCTTTTTAAAGAATCCAACCCAGGTCGGAACAGCTCTTCAGGTTTTCCACAATCTTGGAACTTTGAAGGATACCATTACCAGTGTCGTGGACGGATACTGTGCTGCTGTAGAAGAAAATATCAGCAGTGCATTAGACATCAAAGTTCTGACTCAGCCTTCCCAGTCAGCTGTGAGAGGTATGGATGTGCCTTATATTTAGCTTCTTTATTTATTTATAACTGAGAAGCCCTTTGAATAGTATGTGAAACACTGAAGTTTCAAAGTGATCTAATGACTCATTTGTTTAGGAGACAGAAAATGAGAGAAGAAATTATGTTTTAGAATTTATTTATAACTTTTTTGTCTAATCAGTGAGTTGAAGTGGCCAATTGGTATATTCAGAACTTCTAGATAAAAACTATAAACTGTGGCTTCATTTAGTTCAGAGGAAACAGATGCAAGAAAAAAAGAGAAGGAACATATTTTTCTGTCTGAAATCCTTATCCTTACATATACTTCTTATTGAGACAGAAAACATTTTTTAAGGAAATAAAATCTCAGCCTTATTGTTCTGCTTTTCCTTATGGTAATTCTGGTACTCAAGAGCAGTGATGGCTAAGTGTGGGGACAGAAGGTGATAAAAGCTTTGGGAACATCACAACTGTAACAAAATCTAAAGCAAATCAAAGACAGGTAGATTCAGGGTGGAGTAGGTAGATTCTAGGCAGCAGTCTGCAATGCTTTTCCTGCCAAAATGAACCTGATGATGACATTCACATACATAACACACTTCATAGATAGGAAGGACTACATGTCATGTGTACCTCTTATTTTTCTAAGTAACCCCAACTCTGCATTTCTCCTCTTTAATTCTTTCTTCTTTCCTGTTAATATGAATGAACTGTACTTGCTACTGGCAGAGACGAAGTATGCTACCTTTGCGTAAATCCCATCTCTGAAAGGCATTGCCTTAGCAGATCCCCTCCCCCTCCCACGTTATCAATTTTTCCTTCTTTACATCTTTTTCCCATCACATACAGTTGTGCTGTTGTATCTTCTGCTTAAAGCCAATCAGACAAATCTGTCGTGACTCCATTTCTTTCTTCAGTTTTACTGCCTTGTTTTATTCCTTCAGACTACAGAAAAATTCCCCAAAGTGTTTTATATTCTTACTGCCTCCAGTTTTTCTTTTCCCATTTTTCTATTGAAGAAGGTAATCAAATATCATGAAGTTGTTCTAAAGAATAAATAACGCATGTAGAATTAATAAGAGTTCTTGATACAGGGCTAATGCTAAAAAAAAATTTGCAGCCATTGATTATTATTTGTAGGTTTGTTATATAAACGTAACCTTGAATAACACAGACTGTATGTCACTCATACATAATTTACACTAGAAAAAAAGATAAAAGAATCTTAGATCTTGAAGGGATTTTTAAAGGTTAGCCATAAACTCTGAATAGGTCTTTACTGAGACCATCCCAGGAGAGCTTTGAAAAGAGAGGTAGCCGGAGGAGACTTCACTGTCAGGTTTTCTGAGCAATTAGCCTCAGAAAGTTTGATCTCATCTTCAAATTTCCAGAAACAGTTTAATCCCATGCCCTCTTGTGTTGTCAAGAACAAGAAGAAAATGAAAGCAGTTATTCAGGTGCTGTCAATCCTAATGTATGCCCCCTCTTTTTGAACGACGAAGGAGTTTTAAAGCCTTATTAATCATTTTTGGGGGAGTGGATACCATGATTTAGTGTAGAAACTTTAGCATGAATTCTTTATTTTTTAAAAATAATCACTTTTATTTTAAAAAATGTTACATTGGCAGTATTAATGTTAATTTTCTGATCTTGTTGGTTATATTGAGATCATGTAGTAGAATGTCCTTTTGGTTGAAAATACACATTAAAGCTTTCAGGGGTGATCAGGCTTCGTGTTAGTAAATGATTCAGAGGAGAATATTTTTACTATACTTCAGAATTTTCTGTATGTTTCAGATTTGATTCAAAATTTTAAAAATATGTAACATTAATATAATTTTAAAGAAAAGTGTGCTTCCCAAGATGTAGCTAAAAGTTTATAATTTAATAAGAAAAAGATAAGAAACTTAATTGAAAAAATAAAGAGTACGAATAGGCAGCTAGCAGAAGAACACATCCAGGAGATGTGCAGCCTTTGTAGGGGATGTGAATAGTTATTAGAGAAATGCAGACAGACAAGATGTGATTTCTCAGCTGTGAGACTGACAAAATCTAAATCTAAGAAAGGAGTAAATTTCGGGTGAGGACAGAAACACTTGCACTCCGACTGTTCAAGAATAAAATGTTTCAACCCCTTTTTCAGTTTTATCAAACAGTGCATTTAGACCATTCAGAGGGATCATTGGTATGATTGAATTAATATCTACTCTTTCATTACTGTTTTGTTTTTTGGCCTTATTCTTTGTTTCTCTTTTTGTTGTTAACAATTTTTCTGCCTTTTGGTTTTAATTGCACACTTTATGTGATTCCATTTTTTCCTTTCTTTATGTATCAGTTACACTTCTTTAAAAAATTTTTTTAATGGTTGCCCTAGAGTTTGCCATATACATTTAGAACTAACCAATGTCCGCTTTCAGATACTACTATACCACTTCCTAGATAGTTCCAGTGCCTTGTAATAAGAAAATAATCCTAATTCCTTCCCTCCCATCCCTTGTTTCGTTGCTGTCATTCATTTTACTTGTATGTAAGTGTATATAAGCACATATACATATGCACACATAAACGCTGTAAATATAAGCACACATAATCCAATTCAATGTTGCTGTTATTATTTTGAACCATTATCTGTTAGATTAATTAAGAGTAAGAAAAGTTTTTATTTGACCTTCCCTTCCGTGTTCCTTCTTCAGTGCTCTTCCTTTCTTTATGTAGATCTGAGTTTCTGTCGTATATTATTTTCCTTCTCTCTAAAGAGCTTCTTTTAACATTTTTTGAAAGCCAGTCTGTTTGCAACAAATTCCGTCATTTTTTGTTGGACCAAAAAGATCTTTACTTATTCTTCACTTTTGAAGAATATTTTTGCAGAGTACAGAATTACAGGCTGGTGGGGTTTTTTGTTTTTTTGTTTTTTTCTCTCAACACTTAAATATTTCACTTTCCTCTCTTCTTGCTTGCATGGTTTCTGAGAAGTTGGATGTAATTCTTGTTGTTCCTCTATAGATAATTTTTTTTCCACTGACTGCTTTCAGGACTTTTTGTTCTCTATGATTTTCTTTAATTTGAAAATAATATACATAAGGTATTATTTTTTTTTAAATCTGGCCTGGTGTTCTTGGAGCTTCATGTGATTTGGTGTCTGGCACTACTTTGAGGAAATTCCCAGTCATTATTGTTTCAAATATTTATTCTGTTCCTTTCTTTTTTTCTCCTTCTAGTTTTACTATAATATATATGTCACACCTTTTGTGGCTGCCTATAGTCCCTAGATATTCTCTTCTATTTTTTTTTTTTAACAGTTTTGGGGATTGTGTTGATATAGGCTGTCGTTCAAAGACTTTCCTCAGCCATGTTCAGTCTACTGATAAGGCCATCAGAGGCATGCTTGATTTCTGTTACAGTGTTCTTTTTTTATTTTTTTCTCTCTAGCATTTCTTTCTGGTTCCCTCTTAGGATTTTCATCTGTTTGCTTACATTGCCCATCTGTTCCTGCATGTCTGCTTTATCCCTTAGAGACTTTAGCATGTTAATCTTGGTTGTTTAAAATTCCTAGTTTGAGAATCTCAACATCCCTGCCATGTCTGTTTCTGATGCTTGTCCTCTCTCTTTGAATTTTTTTTTGACATTGTGATATGCCTTGCAATTTGGTAAAAGGTACTTCTGTAAATATGTCTCTAATAATATGGGTGAGGTGTGTGGGAAGGGAAAGCATTCTATAGAGTTGTTATTAGGTCTCATTCTTTTAGTGAGCTTGTACCTCTGTACTTGGAACTTGACACGGGTATTAAATTTTCTTTCCCTCCTTTTGGTGGGAGAGAGGATGACTAAGGTGAGCTGGGGTTGACTATCTCCCTTCCCCATGTCCGTTAGGCTCTGATAACACCCTAGCAGGTAGGGCTCTGTTTAATTAGTTTCTCCCGAAAGCAGGCCTTGTTAAGAACAGAGCGCTCACTCTCTGTTATTTTTGAAAAAAGAAATGAAAATAGAACTACATTTAGCAGTTCCACTCATGGGTATTTATCTAAAGAAAGTGAAAATATTGATTGGAAAGGATATATGTAATTCTGTGTTCATTGCAGCATTGCTTACAATAGCCAAAATATGGAACAGCCCAAGTGCCCATCACTGCAGGAATCAATAGTGAAGATATGGTATATATACAATGGAATATTAGTCACCCATAAAGAGACTGAACTCTCACTGTTTGCGACAACATAGATGGATCTAGAGGGTATTCTAAGTGAAGTAAGTCAGACAGAGAAAGATAAATACTGTACAGTTTGATTTATGTGTAGAATCTGAATGTGGTCTTAATCTCTGTTATACATTTACACTGAGAATGTTTTCTATAATTACTTTGAGAGAGTAGGGAACTAAATAACCCTTCCTGTTGTTTCTTTGGGGAATTTCGTTGGACCTATGTTTGTCATTGTTTTTTGTTTACGTCCCTTTCCTCCCCACACTAGGGCCTCTCCCCAATATCTGTTTTCGGTGCCCTGTTACTTTGTTTCTGATCATTATTCATCTTTGAAAGGTACTGTTTGTTGGTTGAAGAGTAATGTGGGAATGGTTGTAGGGAGAGACCTGGGACAGTCTATAACTTTGACTTAGACTTATTATCTAGAATAACAGTTCACTATCTTATTTCCTTCTGCTTTGGGAGGACTTCTTTCCTCACATTTTGGACCATTCTAGAGCTTTGTCTGGATCCCAGTAAATCCATTGAAGCAATTTCTGTATGGAAACCTTAAATTCTCTTTTTTTCCTCTTTCAACTCATTTTACCTCTAGTTGTCTTCCTAAGCTAGAGGGCTGATTCTTAACACAGCATAAATTGCATTTTATAGTGGTTTCTCCTTCAGCTTTTCTTTTTTTGCCATTCTGCAACATTGAACATTTTTCTGGCTTCTTTCCTGGCCCATCCATGTCTGTGCCTCTCAGCCCTAAGCAAAGAATCATTGGATAGCCTAAATTTTTACAACTGATTTTTAAGAGCAGTTTGTTCCTTGCTATTGGTCTAGAATGTCAGCTATCTAGTTCTTTGTTCATTTTGACTTATCTACAGCATTTGGTATACAGGCTTCATAATCTCAAGTTTGAGGTTTTTAGTTGATTTTTTGTTTCTTTGAAGTTGACATTTTTCTCTACTTCTTGTTCTTACTTTCAATACCCTTCAAGATACTAGAGCAAGAAAATGATTTTACTCCACCACCATTAACTAGAAATAACTCTTAAATATTATTTCTTTGAGAAGCTCTTAGTTTCTTCTATCACTTTAGTAAAACTTAGTTTACGACACAGTTATTTTGTTTCCTGAGTCTCCAACGACTAACTGATAGTGGCATCTGTGTTTCTGTTTTAATTATTCTTACTCCCCTTCCTGTATACCGCTATTCTATGTTCAGTTGATTATTTATACCTTGTTATATTTTCAACAAGATATATTTAATATACTTACTAATAAGTAAGAAAAATGAAGCCTCTAGATGTAGTTGAAGCAGTGAGTGTGATCTTGTTTTTCTGTGCCTCAGTTTCTCCAAAATAAAATAGAAAATAACGCCTCCTTGTATTTCTGCCCATATTTACTGTAAGAGAGTAGTGGATTGATGCATTCCATAATTCTTTAAAATAAAACCAAGCTCTACATATTCCAGGAATTTAATTAATATTTTCTAATTTTCACAAAGTTACTGCATACATTTTCTTTACTGTCACGTGTTCATTCCTTATGTAACTTCTGAAACAATTGCATATTGTTTCAGCATTACCTCTCTAGTCTCTGTGTACTTTCCCTTCATATTCTTTGTAAAACACTGCAGATAATGTTAAAAAATAATTAGACCTAGATTTTGAACAGGAATTATTTGTATTTTTAAAGCCAGGCTCGCTTTCTTACATGTTTCTCTTTTTTATTGCTTTCCACTGTTATCAGAATAAAAAAATAAGTGTCTCTTTACTAAAATAAAATGTAGTTTTTTCCTAAACTTATAATTTTTAAAATCACTATTTTAAAAGCTATTATTTTGGATGGCCAAATATTCCCAAATTTGTTCTCTGGAAGCCCCCTCCAGTCAAGTTCCTATGTCCCATGACAAATCTCCATTTGTCTTTGAACCCTTTTTCATTCTGGCCCAGTGTGTACCAGGTTCACCTTCTATTTTCACTGCTCCAGATATGGAATTACTTTTTTCTTCAATGAGCCTTGGTTTCTTTTATTGGGGAATGGTGCATAGAAGTCAGAATTTGGATGTTAGGCATACTGAATTCTATTAAGGAGTCGTCTCTCTGTCCTTATAGTGAACAGAACTGGCAAATACATCTAATCCCCGTTACATATTTGTATCTGTATCCTGTTCACAGTGATAACTTCCATTTGCTCTATTCTAAAATACACCTAAACTAGTTTCAGTATTACAACATCAAGCAACACATTATTAAATAAAGTACAGTATTTCTTTCTTCTTTTTTTTTTTCTCCTTTAACAGAGGCACTGGGGATTGAATCCATCACCTGGTACACACCAAGCACACACTTTACCACTGAGCTGAGCTGTTACCTCCACCCCGCTGCAAACCCAAGCACAATATTTCCTTTTTTTTTAATTGAGTTATACTCAGTTTACAATGTTGTGTCAATTTCTGGTGTGCAGCACAATTTTTCAGTCATACATGAATATACATATATTAATTTTCATATTCTTTTTTACCGTGAGCTACGACAAGCTCTTGAATATATTTCCCTGTGCTATACAGTATAAACTTGTTTATCTACTAATATTTCTTTTCAGTTCTTTTTACTCCAAAATATATCTAAAGTTGGAGTTCTGTAATTAAAAATAACTTCAATTATTTTCCCATGTGTGGTTGTATTATTAATTTGAAATAACATTAGTTTTGTGTGTTTCTGCATTTGTATTTAATTATAGAGTTTACTTTTTTCATTCTTTAAAATTTTAAATTTATTTTGAAATAGATAAAACATTAGTATGGCTCACAGAGACTCACTACTTCTATCCGCATTCTTTTACCTGGTGTTCTTTCACCACTCCAGCTCCCCCTTCTAGGAAGTCGTCTTCATTGGTTTCTGTTTTCTATATTGTCCTTCCTTGGGGGTGTGTGTGTGTGTGTGTGTGTGTGTGTGTGTGTGTGTGTGTGTGATCTTGTTTCCCTTTCTAAAACACAAAAATTTAAGATTCTTTTGTATATCACTCACAAGAAATTATTATTTCTTCAAAAAGAAACTTCTCATTTTTTAGCCTATATATGTGTTTTATAACATACATTTTGTTATATTTGAAAATTTGTATTTTTCCTATTTTTTGTCACTCATAAACAGGGGGACCTGGACGATCTACCATGCCAACCCCAGGAAACACTGCAGCGTTTCGTGCATCCCTCTGGACAAATTTGGAAAAACTTGTGGATAATATCTATACTGTATGTGGACAGGTAAATATTTTAGAGAGTGAAAAGAATATTAATTGTGAGTTAATTCCTGGTTATTCTAGGTTGTGTGACCTTGGACAGGTTTCTTAAAATCTTCCAGCATTCAAAATACCTACATAAGCTGATTATAAGTGTATGTGAGGGCTCAAGCAAAATGCCTTTTGCCTTCCCTTACTGTTTCTAAAGCTTATGCTTTACACTTGTTTCACTTAAAAATACTCAGTTATATGCGTTTGCCCTCTCTTTCCCCCCTTATAGGTACATCATTTACAAAAAATATTAGCCAAGAAGAGAGATCCTGTTTCTCACATTTGTTTCATTGAAGAAATAGTTAAGGTATGTTTAAATGAAAATATTTTTATATCTTTATTGAAGAATGCAGGAAGATAACGAGCCAGCATTATTTGTGCTCCAGAGAGGCTATATGTCAGTATTTGGCTGAAGGGAAGTTTATTTCTTGACAATGACAAATTTTCTTTGCATGTTTGTTTATTGAATAGATGCTAACAGTAATACTATTTATAGTCTAATTTCTGAAATGCATATAGTAATTTCCCATTTCCTGTCATACAGATGATTTATTGTGAAAGTTTTTTGAAGTCCTGCTACGTAATAAGATGAAAATTTTTGGTATATAAACAACTTAATTGTGGTTATTAAAATGTCTTATAAAGTCTTCTCTGAAGATGGTAGGGTCCATTCAGTTGTTCATTTTCCTATAAAGTACATTACTGAATTGATTTTTCATATTTTAAAGTCTCTCTTCTGTCATCTACCAATATCCTGGCCTCATGGACCACAAGAATTCCTTCCATGCAAAGAAATCTCTGACTCTACATTTTATTCATTCATTTTGATATGTTTTTGATAATGATGAATAGAAAGACTAATTACTATTTTCATCATTAAATCTTAACACCTAGTACTCCAAAGAAAAAAATTCTCTGTTTCAAGCATCATGCTGTGGATTGTTTTCTTTGTAGTTCAAAAATTTAAATATTTCCTGTGTTGAGGATCTCTGCAGTCACCCCTAATTTTGATGATTTGGTGGGAGTATGCACAGCACTCAGTCATGCTCATGACTGATATATTGTAGTGAAAGTGTACAAAGCAAGTCAGACAGAGAAAGACAAATACTGTATAACTTCACTTATGTGCAAAATCTAAAAAATGAATGAAGAAATGGGATGAAATAGAAATTAATGTATAAACACAGAGAACAAACAGGTATTCACCAGAGAGGATGGATAGTGAAGAGAGGAGAGAAGTAGATGAGGAAGATTAAGAGGTACAAGCTTCTAGTTGCAAAATCAATGAGTCATTGGTATGAAATGTACAGTGTGAAGAATATAGTCAACAACTATATAATATCTTTGTATGATGACATATCGTAACTTGATTTATTATGGTGATTGTTTTGAAATGTATATAAATACTAAATCACCTATGTTGTGTAACAGGAACTAACATAACGTTGTAGGTCAACTATACGTCAAAAACAAATAGACAAACTGAAAAAGAGATCAGATTTGTGGTTGTCAGAGTTGGGGGGTGGAGTGGGGGGGAATTAGATGAAGGCGGTCAGAAGATACAAACTTCCAGTTACAAGATAAATAAGTACTAGGCATGTAATGTGAAGCATGATGAATATAATTAACACTGCTGTATGTTATTATCAAAGTAGCAAATCCTAAGAAATCTCATAACAAAGAACATTTTTTTCTATTTCTTTAATTTTGTATCTGAATGAGATGTTGGATGTTCACTAAACTTATTGTGAGAATCACTTCATGATAATTATAAGAATCACTTACTGTGTGAATTACTTCAAATCACTATGCTGTACACCTTAAACTTATATAGTACTGTATGTCAATTATATCTCAGTAAAGCTAGAAGAAACGAAATGAAGAAAAATAAGCGAAGGGAGAAAGTGCATAGCATGAAATCCTGAGGAAACCAGGTGCAAGCTTCCAAGAGTCCTCTCCCCTGGAGTTAGGCAGGACACTCTTAATTCTTACCCCAGTAAGTTGTGACAGCACACGTGGAACGTTGTCTTCCCTGGAAGCTCACCTTCAGCCTGGGATAACTAATGCCAGGTCTTCATTTTTACAGGCAAGCAACCGCCCATGCAGTGATACCATTCATTTATTTTTCTGGCTATGGTCATTTTTCTACCTAGGTTAATTAATTTAGTCTTTATGTGTAGTGATTTGATTGCAGTCTTTTATTATCTAATCCTTTGTATATATTTTTATTCCTTTTCAATAGTTTAATTAATATTCTGTTAGCAACATAAGAAAAATAATAATGAAACCATTATATTCAAGAGAGTCTAAGGGAAAGGTTAATATTTAAAAAAAATTTAAGGATAGTTACATTTGTGATATTACTGCATTGGGCAAAGTTTTTACATAAAAACTCATATTATTTCTTGTCAACAGTCAGTTATTATAGTGAATGAACATTGGCAACTTACGTGGGCCAGGTTTTAAATGCATGTAAACTATTACTGATTAAAAAGAATTATTAGGAATAGGGATATATGCTTTCACTTCATTTGTCCTTTTCACTTACTTATAAAATTTCTTATTTAATTAAAAAGAGCCCTAAAAATTGCTTTTCAAATGCTGTTAAGTTTTTTAAGAATATAGTTATATACAGTATACACATACATACTTACATTTATTATAAATTTTAATGTAAATTTATAGTTTAGTTGACATTTGTTCTTTTAAGGTAATATTTATGAATAAAAATGTAGTCCCTCTTGGAATTCAGTGTATCACCTGTATTCAGAAAGATCAGTCTTTTGTGGAAGGTTTTTGACCCTGCATATTTGGGTATTCCAAGGCAAGAGAAAAGTAAAAATACCCTAAGGAAAATATCTGTCATAAATTGCAAAGTAGCACCTAAATTTTACTTTATTTACTATAATTTCTTTAAGTAGTCCTTTCCTTTATTGTAAAGCTATAGTCCTTTCCTTTATTTGCTAATTATGTAACTATAGTGTAAGAATATTGTTTAGTTAAAATAATTATCAATGGCAGTAGAACCTTTGTAAAGAGTGTAGGATTTTCAGAATAATTTGAGACTCTAAATAATGATCCTGAAAATCTTCAGAAATTTTAAAAATTCAGGAGATGGTGATATGTATCTTGGTGTCTTGGGTCAGTGAAGAGCAATATCTGAACCAGGATCTCTTAGTCTTTGTGTAATCTGTTTTTGAGGAAAAGTTTATAAAAACAATGTTCTTACACTACTAGGTTCTTTGCAGCTGTTAAGATTTTTAAGAAGGATTATATCCTGGTATTCAAATTTCTTTCTAATTTAGGGGCTTATCCTTTTAAACCCCCAAGTATATTTCAAAAAAAAATCAAAACACTGTAAATAATTCAAGTTGAAACAATTTAGAATTTATGCCATATACTTTCTACAATATCTTTTTAGAAATTAGTGCTGTTTTCTTAGGAAGATAATTTCTAGCAAATACTTGTTTTTAGATTGCAATCTACCAGAACATATTTTTTATATTTATGTATTAAATTTTTATAAGTAGTAGTTAATATTTTGAAATTCACTGAAAGCTAAATTAATAGATATTTTCTCTTTGGTTTATAACATGGAATATAAACAAAGTTACACTATCAGTTTCATATCAAATAAGAAAATTAAGAATTCATTTTCCAGGTTTCTTTGTTTTTAAACCAGTTGATTCTAACACTTCTGTAATTCACTCTAAAATGTGATAGAATTTCCATATTTGACTTCTTGCCAGCTTGCTTCTTTTCTACCCCAAAGAATTTATTTTGCATTTTGCTTTGTTAAATATTTTCTTGTATTTATTATCTCTTTGTTATAGTCCAGTACCTATAGACTTTTTTTAGAAATTGATGGCTTTTGTTTTTTTGAGCAGCTTTAGGTTTACAAAATAATTGAGCAGAAAATATATCTGTTACTTATTAGGTTATCATAACATCTGTTACACAGTATGCAGAACTTATAACTGCATAGCACAGTGAGCGAATCCTAATGTAATCTGTGGACTTTAGTTATTAATAATGTATCAGTCATGGTTCATGAATTGTAACAAATGCACCACACCAATGCAAGATGCATAATGCATAATGCAAATGCATATTTCCCGTATCCACCATTGTAATACCATACAAGAGACGTTCAGTAGTGTTACTTCCTTAATAATCCTCTGTACTCTACCTGTTCATCCTTTCCCCACTTATCCTCTTAACCCCTGGCAACCACTGATCTTTGTACTGTCTTTATAGTTTTGTCTTTTTAAGAATATCATATAATCGGAATCACACAGTAGATTGCCTTTTTGTATTGAATTCTTCTGCTTAGTAATATGCATTTTAGGTTTCTTCATGATTTTTTTCATTGCTTGGTTGCACATTTCTTTTTATCACTGAATAACATTTCATTATATGAATGTACTTAGTTTGTTTACCCATTCACCTATTGAAGGGTGTCTTGTTTCTTCCATTTTTTGGCAGTTATGAATAAAACTGCTGTAAACATTTGTGTGCAGGTTTTTGTGTGGATATAAATTTTCAGCTCATTTGAATAAATGCTGAGGAGTACGATTGCTGTATCTTAGGGTTAGGATATATTTAACTTTGTAAGAAACTGGCAAGCTGTCTTCCAAAGTGGCTGTATCATTTGCATTCCCACTAGCAAAGACAGAATTTCTTTTGCTCTACATCCTTGCCAGCATTTGATATTGTCAATGTTTGGGATTTTAGCTCTTCTAATAGGTGTGCATTTAGTTTTGTAATTGATTTAGTTTGTATTTCCCTATGGATTTTTAAAAAAATTATGTCTATGGGGAAAACTTGATTAGTAAAGTTTCTAAGACTTTTTCTGTAGGAAAATGAACTGCTTTTGCATGCTCATTGTTCAATATTTATCTGTTTACTCATCCAGGTACTTAAAATATCTTCAAACATTGAAAAGTAATTTTTAAATGATTAACTATAGCTTTTTAGCATTTGGAAAGCCAAATACTTCAAAGGTCTTTCTACCTAGGGTAGTACAGTGATTAAGAACTGGGTCGTTGGGCCTTAGTACTAGAGCTAAGATTTCCTTCACTGATTATGCAGCCTTGGGTAGCTCCTGTAATCTTTCAGAACACCAGATAGCAAATGGGGTAGTAATACTATCTAAAGAATTGAGATATTCTGAGGGAAAATTAAGTAATGTAGACTTAATTCAGAGATTGGCTCAATAATTTGCTATCATAATTATAATTTCAGTCTTTATTTTTTAACTTTGAAACTTTTAAGAGTCATAGAATTACCATGTGCAAGGTAATTAAG